ATGCTATGAGTGTGGGGATGTATGTTTCATAGAGATTATATATTCTATATTTTGGACATCATATGTATATGGGCAATTCCCTTATATATAACTTCCATTTTATGAACAATGTTCCTTAACTCATAGTTTTTATATGAATTAAACCAACTAATGCTTGTGGAGAACTGAGCACAGCATCAGGCACACAAGTGCTCAGTCAACAGTAGCTGTGATCACTATGGCTAGTTCCATCATCATCTCTAATCCTCACCTCACCACAGCCCTCAGAGTAGCTACTCTCATTATCCCTGCCTTCAAATCAGGAAATCAAAGCTTGGGGAGATAAAGCAATAGGCCCAAGGAACATGGCCACCGAGGTGTAGAGCACTCAGCCTGAATCAAAGGCCCAAGGCCTCTGCCCTTCCTCCCTGGAGGGAAGGGCCCACGTTGCACAGGAGGGACTGAGCCAAGTCACTTGCTGAGTGTTAGGGTGGGCAGGGATGAACACCCTGTCCCCATTCCCAGCCCATTGCCCTGCCTTTACCCCGCAGATTCTCATGACAGACTAAGGTGTCACTTCTCAAACCGTTAAGGAAGGTCAAGGGTGATGTATTTCTTTTCATGAGGAAAAAATTGCTCTATATATGAAATCTGATTCTTACACATTTAAAAACTACTCATCAAGAACCCAAGATGATGTCTGACACAAGGATTCATCTATAAAGAAATCAGGCCAATACCATCTATAGGGTAGAGACCAAACTTAAAACTGGAAGCTATTGTGTCCTAACATTTTGAAAATCATCACCATTATTGTGAGTTTCCAGGAGAAGCAGGAAGAATGCACACATACAGACACACACATAGACAGGTTTTGTAAGTAGACCTGGGATCAGAATCTGGCTCTATTATTTCCTTATTAAATGTGTGACTTTGGCTATGTTATGTATCCTTTCTTAGCCTTGGTTTCTTTAGTGGTAAAGTTCTTGGATTGAGAGGGAATTAAATGAAAATAAGTGTTTAGTACTCGGCTCCCAGAGACATCGAAAAATGACTATTGCTTCTCATCACTCGATACCACTGTCTGGAGCTGACGACCATTTCCCTGCCCTCTAAGAGCTGGAAGAATAAGGTTCAACACTGAGATTCCAAGTTGACCTGCATGCTATCCAGGTGGCCAGGGTGGAGGTCTCCTTGGGGACACCCTCTCCCAGAAGAGAAAAATCAGGGAGCCTCTGAAAGGGAATACTCCCCAAGACAAAGCAAGAAGCAACGGGCCTCGGGGTCCTGGACGTCTCTGTCAGTTAAGTATCTGACTTGATACAGGTCACGATCTCACAGCTCATGAGATCAAGCCCCACATCGGGCTCTGTGCTGATGCTCAGAGCCTAGAGCCTGCTTTGGATTTTGTGTCTCCCTCTCTCTTTCTGTCCTTCCCCTGCTCGTACTCTGTCTCTCTCTCCCTCAAAAAGAAATAAACAGTAAAAATTAATTAATTAATTAATTAAAAATTTTAAAAATACAAAAGAACTCACAGATACAGAGAACAGGTTGTGGTTGCCAGAAGCAGGGGATGGGGGTGGGCAAAATAAGTGAGAAGAGCCAAAAGGTACAAATTTACAGTTTTAAAAGAAATACATCATGGCGATGTAAGGCACAGAATGGTGACTCTACTTAATAACACCGTATTGCATATTTGAAAATTGCACAGAGAATAAATCTTAAAGGCTCTTATCACAAGAAAAAGATTGTAAAGAGTGTGGTGATGGGTGTTATTAACTAGACTTATGTGGTGATCATTTTGCAATATATACAAATATCGAATCAGTATGTTTTATACCGAAAAGTAATATAACGTCAGAGAGTCAATTATACCTCAATAAAAAATACATGAATAAATGCCTTCTTGGATGGATTAGCTAAAATTAGATTTAGGTTAGGTTGGCGGACTGCACAAAATTAATATTGGGCAACAATAATATAGACACTAGAAATATAAGTATACATTTAAGAATTATTTTAAGCGTTTACATACTACATATGTAACACGTATTTACTGGAAAGAGGATAAAGATAACAGCATAGTAAACACTAAATAGTTAAACATTATGAGGATGCTATTAAATTATTTTAGGGTAACCACTAAAAGGCTAATAGAGAATATAAGATCAAATCATTAGATGGGAAAAATTAAATAAAAAATAAAAATTCTAATAATTCAGAAGAAGACAAGAAAAAAATCAAAAGAAAAAGTGGGACAAATAGAAAATACAAAATAACAAAGTAGAAATCATTTCAAACATATTAATAATTATAAAAGTGTAAACAGAACACATGCCTCAGTAACCAAAAAATATCACGCTGGGTTAAATGACAAAATAAAGCAAAAACAAAAATAGCTCATTACTATCTACAAAAAGCACACCTAAACTGTTAGGACACAGAAAGCTTAAAACAAAAGAATTTTTTTAAAAAAATTCCAGGCACATACTGCCCAAAAGAAAGCTGATGTAGCCTTATCGTTATTACCAGAAAAAAATGTTTGTTTTTAATTTTCTTAACATTTTTATTTATTACTGAGAGACAGAGACAGAGCATGAGCATGGGAGGGGCAGAAAGAGGGAAAGTACACAGAATCTGAAGGAGGCTCTAGGCTCTGAGCTGTCAGCATAGAGCCCAACGCAGTGCTCAAACTCACAAACCACAAGATCACGACCTGAGCCAAAACACCTAACCAACTGAGCCACCAGGCACCCTAGAAAAAATTTTTGCCAAAAAATTGGCAAAATGTACTAGTGGAGATAAAGAAGGCCACCATATAAGGCAAAAAACTTTGATTCTACGAGATGATATAAAAGTTGTAAATATGTGAGATTTGAATAGTCTCGGATATGTGTAATGTAAAAATTAACAGAAGTTGACAAATCTATGAAAATAATGAAAAATATCTCACATCTCTTAGTAACTGATATGTCAAACAGATTAAATAATCTGAAAATTCGAAGAAGACACTTGGCCAGTTCGATCTAAGGGACATAAATAGAACATTGACCCTAACCATTAGAAAATATGCATTATTTTCAAGCACACACAGAAGATTTATCACACTGGAGGCTGCAAAGTCAAGCTCAACTAATTTCCAGGAATTACCATCATGCAGTCCGCCTTTTCTCATGATGATAAAACTAGAAATCGGCAATGAAAGAAAATGACCAAAAATACTCTGTAACTTTGGAAATCCAAATTTCAAACAAGATTCAAGAATGAAACTCTAAGTCACAAAGAAATTGGAAATACTGAGGACTAAATAATATTGAAAGTGCAACTTAATGAAACTTGCATGATACAGTAAAGTGACAGAGACATTTGCATTTAAAAAGAGGACTGAAAATCAGTCTCCTTATCAATTAAATTGAGAAGAATACCAGAATAAACCAAAATAAAGGAGAAGACATAATAAGAATGATCAAACGAAGACAGAAATAGAATGTTGACGCACGAGAGATAGGAACAAGAGATAGGAAAAGCTGAAAGTTGCTTCAAGGGACATACTAATAAATAACCCCCCTGTCAAGAATGCCAGGGGGCTGGAGGACAGGGGAAAGAATGGACACAATCATGTCAGGAACAAAAAGTTAAAAGGATATTATGAACAACCTATGCCAATAAATTCAACCTTAGATGAATGGGAAAATGAACTTTAAAAAAATGACTAAGAATGATTCAAGAAGAAATCTGAATTTATTCTCACAAAAATAAATCTTAACAAGAAAACATCAGGCTTATGAGGGTTTTACTGGCAGACTCTCTCACAAAGCTAAGGAATGAAAAGAGTAATCTACGTAAACTCTTCCAGAGAATAGAAGAGGAAGTACTGCTCAACTCCTGTGATGAGGCTACCATAAACTTTATAGTAAAAACAGTCAAGAAAAGAGTGTGAAAGGAAAAATAGTCTCAGGAGCAAAAGTCCTTGGAAAAAATTAGCAAATCAAAGCCAGCAATAAATACATCCTGAGCAAGTTGGTATCTGCCTGAATGCAAGATTAGGAAACCCTATTAATTTAGCATATTAGCTGATGAAACAAGAACAATCATATGATTATCTCCATAGAGATTTGGCATTCATCCCCCTCACCACCAGCACCCAACACTGAAATCTGACCAACCCAAAATCTCCGGCTAAAAATGTGCAGTGTCTTTCAGAAGGGTTTCCTGTGGCGGTCAATGTAAGATGGCCTGGAGAGGTGGTAGGCAGGAGAGTTTCTTGCAAAATTAACATGGTTGGTCATTGCTACCTTGGGAGAATACAAAAGATAACCAACTATTGCTGTTGTGTTGTTTCATCTGTTTCCCCTGCCCCTCCAAAGGAAGGAGGGGTGTTCCTTGCTCTCCCGTCCTTTAGTGGAAGTCTGTCTTACAGGAATGAAAGTCTGGGGTCATGGAGGAGACGGGCCTGTGAACGTAGAGGAGATGATTGTCTTTGTTACGGGAAGGGGAAGCATCGAGAAAGACCAGGAAGAATCAGGCGTGGGCAAGGATGCTGTGGTTACCCTGTAAGTCAAAGGACCTCCTCCCACCCCCGGTAGTGCAGGGGCAAGGGTGAGGGCAGTGGGTAAGATAAGGCCCCCCCAAAGGCTGCCCGGCACACCACGGAGGCCAGGCACAGGCACCAAGGCTCCCAGGACCGGCAGCAAGGATGCCAAAGGAGAAAGTGAGAGATCAGCAGAGTCCTGCCCTGTTTCCAAGATCTGATGAGCCCCCTGTTCTCGTGCAACTCAAAAGCATCCTCCAACCACGTATTGACTCAGATTGGTTTTCTGCCTGCTCCCAAAAGCAGAGGAGATCGGGGTCAAAGTTAACTCAATTTACTAAAGGGGAAAAAAAGCCATGTGACGTTTTTGCACACCTAGTTCCCAGTCTAGGCTTCCTACCCCACTGCACAGGCACAGGATATTTGGGGGGAAACAGGAGACAGAGATACACTGATGACCCAGTTACGGAAGTGGGCAGCAAAGCTCTACCTCTCCTCCAGGTCTGGCCACAGCTTGAAGTTGCCGTGGGGGTCACTGCCGGCCTCCTCCTTCTGGGCATTCAGAACTGGGTCCTGCCCAGCCGTTGGGGACTCCTTCAGGTCTCTGCGCAGGTGGAGGGTGCCACTGGCCATGCTGTCCAGAAAGCTGAGGATCTGAAGGCAGCTCTGTATCTTGGGTGGGAGTGGGCTGGCAAGGGCAAAGGCCGCACTCAGCAGATCAGCGAAGGGCCTGGCCTTTGTGTCCATCTCGGAGTGCAGAGGGGCTCCCTCTTCCTCCCGGGCCCCGAAACAGCCCAGCAAACAGAGGTCCTCGGCCAGCTTCTCAAAAAGCCCATTCTTCTTGAAGAAGTCGCCGTTGACAGGGTCCAGGTGCAATGCCGCAGACAAGGCACAGAGGGTGTGCAGGACCAGACCCAAGGTCTGGCTGGGGGACACCATCCCCCACGCCTGTAGCGGGGGCTCCTGGAGAGACCCCTCCAGGTCAGAGAGCAGGGACAGGAGTCCATTGAACCCACTGGACACTCTGAAAGCAGCACGGCCTTTGGGGGTCTCCAGGATCCTGAGGAGAGACTGAAACACCCACAGGATAAAAATGAGGAAAACGCAGGAGACAACTTGTTAACACCGAGCGCTGACACTTCCCTGCCAGAGCATTGCATGTGCTCTTGCCTATTCAAGTCGCAGGAACAGCGAGCTACCTGAGGGTGATTCTGTAACCGTGGGATGTCTATATTGTTCCTCCTCATTTTAGTCGCCCCTCAGTGCCTTCTTTCAACCGGTGGCTGCCAAAGTCTATGCTGATGTATAAGGTTGGTTTACGGTCTTGGTTCTTGACTTCAATGCATCTCCCTCCAAAAAACTCTCTTTGACCCGTACCTTATACTTCCCCCAGGCCAAGTGCTCACACAGCCCCCTCTCATTTCTTGAACCCAATACTCTGCACACTGTTCTGAAGTGACTTGAAAGTTGTCTCAGCCCTCCACTAGACTGAAGCTCTGTGAAATCAGGCAACTCACTGCTGTGGAACGTAGCACATGCTTAATATGTCTTTGCTGAATGAGTGGAATGAACCATCTCTTATATTGCAAAAGAGACTTACGGTGAAATCTATATAAAGTAGCTTATTATTTATGTCCCTCTCTTTGCAAACATGAGTACCTCTATTAAATGAAGACAGATAGTAAAGTGAGTCTACTTAAAACCTGGTGTGAAAATATGAAGGAATCAGGTAGAGAAGAGAAACATTTAATGGAAGGAAACCTAAGTATAGCATATAGAATAGACCATGTGTGGAGTTCAGGCCATTCTTAACATACATAATAGGATCTACCTTCTCTAGATCACTGAGATTTTACCGGACACATTTTTGTTTCCTTCTGCAATCAAACATTTATTGAGCACTTACAATGGGCCATTCATTGAGTACAGTGTGTGGCGTACACTAGGTATTTAACAAACGTGTTGAAGGGAAGGAAGGAAAAAAGGATGGAAGGAAAGGAGGAAGGGAGAGAGGGAGGAAGGGAGGGAGGGAGGGAGGGAGGGAGGAAAGACTGTATTTAAGTAATTCTCATTCTGTGCTAAGGCTTCACACCCAAAAGTGAAAAATGTATGGATGATTTTAGATAAATATCAAAAGTCTCTAGCTTTTGGTATTTTCTTATTTGTGTTTCACAAAAGTTCCTTGGGATTCCATCTAAGTTCATCTTATGTGTGCTTCTGAGAAAGTGGCCAATACTTGCGGTTTCATTAGCAGGTTTTGGAGAGAGGTGTAAATTGTTTTATCCGCTACTGCACTAGCAGCACAAAAAAGGGGATTTTCTGGGCAGGCACAATTTCATGCCAATTCCAAGATGCTTGACACAGGTTCAAAGAAAAAAAGAAACTCCCAACTTAGTGCGTGTGTGTACGGGGGCTGATTCTGTGTCTTAAATGCACGGTTTAGGATGACAATCTATAGCATGATGTGTGAAAGTTAATGAATGAAGAGAAAATTGTTAAGTCAGGAAAATAAAAGGGGGGAAGGGACTAAATTTTATTTTATTTTATTTATTTTTTTAAATATTTTTTTATTTATTTCTAGGAGAGAGACAGTGTAAGCAGGGGAGGGTCAGAGAGAGAGGGAGACACAGACTCTGAAACAGGCTCCAGGCTCTGAGCTGGCAGTCAGCACGGAGCCCGACGCGGGGCTCGAACCCACGAACCGCGAGATCATGACCCAAGCGAAAGGCGGACGCTTAACCGACTAAGCCACCCAGGCGCCCCGGGAAGGGACTAAATTTTAAAACTCTCATGGAGAGAAAGTCAAACAAAAATTTAGTAAAGTTTTAAGTAACTATTAAATATGAAGTCATGCACTTTTGGGGAAGAAGGTAATTTTCCAGCTCTATCTTTAAAATGCTGGTAATCCTAATCCAACGCTATTTATCTGAAACAGTATAATTTGTATCTCTAATTTTCTTCTCTAATATTATATTCTACTCCAAGAGGCCTGAACTGCTCAGTGGTAGGTTAACTCCATTTTGGGAGCAGGAGAACACGAAATGTGCCAGAACTACCTGAACACCCACAGCCAAAGACTCTTTCAAAGAGAAAGACAAAGGAGGTGCTTTAAGACCTCCACTGTCCCATTTAAGACATTTCAAGATATTAAAAAAAAAAAACAAAGTTTATAGTAAGTAGGAGAGTTTATGAAAGGCCAGAGTCCATGCTTACATTCCAAATGGACAAATAATAGTATAAAGTAGAAATATTCATCCTTACCAATATGGGTCAATTGATCTTTTCCTGGTTATAGGAAAAGAAAATATGCAGCTTACAGTGGTGAGATCAACGATTACCCACCACAGCTCAGGGGGATGGCTTCGGGGAAACTGAATTGTCATTTTGTTCTTTGAAAGAAATCAACACCAGGGCCATCCACTAAGGGGGGTTAAATCAGAGTCATGGGAGAGACTTCAGGGAAACGGGCTTTCCAAACTGCCAGAAGGATGGAGGCAAAAACGAAATATGAAGGATGAGGCAGCAATAACGGCTTCCTTTCTCCTCCTTCAACCATATCTGGTTGAAGATATGGCTAAACTACTTCAGAATTTGGCTGAAACTCCAGGAAATGTTGACTTTGTAGGCAGAGCCTTCAAAGAAGCATGTAGACTGTCAAAGCAGGGTCTCCAGAAGGGTGGTGCTCTGTGAGTGGGAAGCTTATGGTGTAGCAACACTAAGACTTCTAGAAGGGCAAGGCCTTTCTCTGCGTGGACAGCATCAGCACAGCTGCCTGCCCCCCACAGCCTACCCATTGGACTCTGAGGCCAAGACAGCCCACACACAGATCTACTACATCTGTGCCTGTCTTGTGTGAACAACCCACTCTCAACACAACAGAATATTATTTCTTCCACCAAGTTGGAAAAATACTCTAAGCTTGAAGTGTGTGTGTTAGTACTGGCCTCTTCCCACCGACTGATAACCCACATGAAAGGATGAACACTGGTGTCTGGTACAGTGTGCGTTGCTTTGTCTGCATCTGACCTTATGTGTGGTTGTGTGGCTCTTGCTGTGAAAAAGAAATACATCACCAAGACATTGGGAAATCTTAAGCTTTAGGATGTTAAGCTATCTAAATTTATGAGAGTGTTTTCAGTGGCTCCTAAAACCACTAGGAGGTTGTTTCAGGGAAATGGATTGGATGGAGCTCAGCTGTTTATCACAAGGGCACGTGACAAAACAAATATGAAAAATGGAGAACGATCAAAAAACAAACGAATCAAATTACAGGCAATTGTCTGGGCGCTGGAAGACCACTAAACTCCCCTCTTATTCAAGAAACTACCTTCCAATCATCCAATTTGACACCAGACATTGCTCAAAAGGATTCCATCATTCAGAGGGTTGAGAGCAGATATTGTTATAACAGAGCAACCCAATTTAAGTCCTTCTTATGATCTGTGTCTCTCAGTGGGCCTGTCCCCTGTAATTCCTACATGGCTCCTTTCTCCTCCTGTTGGGAGGGGGGAGGAGAAAGAGATGGCTGTCCTTAATTGTTGCTTTGTTTGATTTATTAAATTCAGAATCATTATCCAAAATGGGGGTAATCTCATTAGAACTTAGACTGCTCTATTATTTCTTGGGATGGGGTTAATTTCATATTTGCAGAGTCATAAAGTAAAGAGTCTAAAATCCAATTACAAAGGCTTAATTTCATAGCAACTAAAGAGAAACATTTCTATCATAAAGGAAAATAAATATTGCGCTACTTCGGGAAACGATTTGTCAGGAGCTGGGGGCCTAGAATGAGGGTCTCCATTACTGTCATTCAACTTTGCATGATAATGCATCACCTAGGCTTGTGAGTCTGTGGAGGGGAGTAAATTTAATCAGCTGAAGTCAAAGTAATCAGGCTGGGGTTGACACATTTCAAGAAAGGTCAGCGTTAAGCACATTTTCTCCTCCTTAACTCAGTTACCATGTCATCGTCTCTGAGTTCGTATTCCTCCAGCTTGAATGTATAAAATGGATGTCTGCTGCAAAGCGCTAACTAGGTTAGGGCTAACAGGATTTATTTCACATTCTATTATTTGTTATTCCTCATAATTTTCCACGTGTCACGCTGGAAGACTGGTGAGGTAATGTGATTAAGCACAGAGTTGAACAGCTAAATGTATATTAGCAAATCAATCTGAATTTGTGCATAACCCAATCATAGTCCCACTGGCAGTGGAGAGGAAATTCATTTGCCTACATTATTCTTTAACTCAATTATCATTTGCCAGAATTGGGTGGTGAAGTCACAAGTGCTTGCGTATTGGTATGAAAGTGCCACTGGATTTTGGAAACCACTGCCCTAAGTTGGGTGTTTCTGGAGAAATTTTCTCTTCCCAAAGCATCTGGCTGATGGTCTCAGGGAAGGGAAGTGAGGGTCGCGCCTTGATGTAAATGCATGTCAAATATGGCAAAGATTTGATGGGTTCAGAGGGTACTGCCTTTGAGGTCACCTCACTCTGTCATCTCCTCCCCCATCCTACATCTGACTCACTTTGCAGGTACAGGGCTTTGGGCTGAGTCCACGCTGAACTTCTAAAAAGGGAGATCTAGCCAGAAAGAGCTAATTTTACATCTTTGTTTCTAAAGTTCCAACAGATTCCCGAGATGATATAGAACAAATGCGGATTCTAGGTTAGACTCCAGCAAACATCAAACACCAACTGGATAGTCACTCACATGACTCAATGATTGGCAAGCCGGTAACAGCCCCATGTCCCCACAACTACCCATTGGAGCAACAAAGTGTCAACAGCCCTGGTCCTGGGAGAGCACTAGCATCTCCACGCACCATCCCCCAGCTTCTCAGCAGTGACTTGGCACCCGGGGAGAAGGCCGCACACTGAACACGGGGTATGACTTTGTTAAATAAGCTCATACAGTGTTAATCCCTTGATAGCGTGATTCTGAAATGATATTAAATCTGTAAAACACCATAAAGGCTTTACATTGCTAATTCTAGAAATTCAGTCCTATTACCCAAGGGCCGACCCTCCAATAAGGTGCCTCCGGGCTGCAGACTAAATAAGATGAACTTTCCATGAGCAAAGCCGAGTACACTTCTCTATAACAGATACAGAAACACTTCTTCTTTCCAAACAAAGTAAACCCGAAGCTTTCCTCCCTGTGGATCTGTTTGACTCTCAGTGTGAAAATCTCAGAAACAGATGGGGATTCCAATTATTCATCCCCCAGGAAACCGAAGTCCTGACTACTGTGGTCATGGTTTCTCTCTTGCTTATCAAAATAAGGCTCGTGTGAATCAGGCTGAAGACAGACATGTGAGGGAAAAAATGTAATAAACAGCACAAGAAAAAAAGGAAAGATCCCTAGATTGTAAGTCACTTGTCTTGGATTCAAACTCAGCTCACAATTTATAATAGACGCTTTCTGGAACATTAAGACTGGACCACATGGGGGAGCCTGGGTGGCTCAGTTAGTTAAGCATCAAATTTCAGCCCAGGTCATGATCTCGCAGTTTGTGGGTTTGAGACCCACGTAGAGCCCTGTGCTGACAGCTCAGAGCCTGGAGCCTGCTTCGGATTCTGTGTTTCCCTCTCTCTCTGCACCTTTCCCCCACTTGCACTCTGTCTCTGTCTCTGTCTCTCTCTCTCTCAAAAATAAATAAACATTAAAACAAATTTAAAAAAATAAAAAAGATTAGACCGCATGAAGCTAAAGTCCTTCCTAGCTGTAAATTGTCATCCATTCTTGTTCTGTTGTTCCCTTATGTTCCTTCAGGTGGGCCCTTCACTTCCTCTACCAAGTCCTATTTTATTTCATATAAAACTGATTTCTTTGGCTGTATAACTAAATCACGGTTTTGGTTCTTGTCATCTGTGAAATGCATGATAATTATGGTCACAATGTCACTTTTGGATAGGCTTCTCCTGATGCTTTGGCCATGCCAAGCACTGCGGGCTCAGGTCATGTGATTGATGCTGGGAACACATGTGTCTGACAATCACATGACATGGTTGACTCTGCAGAGAGATAAGTAGGTAAAGGAAATGGAGCACTATTCTCTAAATGTTAAAATGGTTTTGTACAGAAGGAGTCATGGCCGAGTAAGCCTGATGGTTTAATTTTGGAAGTCAGACCAACTCCATATTATTTTTTAATTCACCAATGATCAAGGTGTGTACGTTTCTGAGACATGAGCATGTGTTTGGCAAGGGGCTGTGTTGCATATATACGTGACCAGTCCCCAAGTCAGCCTCCTGAGGCATATCTGCATTTACATCTGCTCTTCTCATAAATGGCATATAACCAAAGAAAGGGAATTTTTCAAAACGTGTAAGACCCCAAAGGCAAAAGGAATGAAAAAGCAAGACCAAAAAAATTGTGAAAGCTGTAAGGCAGAAGTCATGGTGGAGATGACAGTTGTTATTCTAATTGTCTTAATTTGATGATTGCTAACAATCCTACAAACACAAAAACCTATACTCATCTTTGTTACCCACAAGTGACACCCTAGTTTTACTCCTCCCATTTGTGCCCTCTGGGCACCTGCCTCTTATTTCCTCTTCCCAGCTCAAACATCCTCTGCAAGCTTGCCTCAACGTGCAAGGGAGGAGTGGGCTCTCCTACTCCTCTGCACTCAGTACTTTCCAGGGCGTTACCGCACTGCATTGCCATTACTGCTCACTTATCATGCGCCCTAGTCTACGAGCTCCCAGATGGCCAGGCCTATATCTCATTCAACTCTGTGTCCCAGGCTGGTAGAGGGTAGACCCTAAATGCTGGTCAAGTAAACAAGGCAGCTGCTTGGCCTCCATTGATTTAGACTCCACTTCCACAGATTACAGTGTTGCTGGGAAGACTACATTTCCCGGCACCCCTTGCAGCCCAATGAGCTGTGCCCAAAGGCGGTTGCATAGAAGTTGACGTGTGCCAGCTCCAGACCGGCAGAACACCTTGTGCAATTCTTTGTCTGCTGGCTGGATTTGATGCCCAGGTGACAGCCATCCCTGAATGGTATCCCCCCCATCACTGATTGGACTACACATAATGTATCAGACTACTGAAGTTGTGGGATTTCTTTGTTATAGTAGCTCATACTAGCCAGCTGTATACTACAGTGACCAACTGAATGACTGAATGCATGCACACGTGTTGATCACCAGCTGCACATTCGTGGGAAAGTCCAGCACAGAGGAAGACTTGACATCACCTGCAGGAGATCCAGTTTCAGCTCCAGCTCCCCTTGAGTGGACGAGCACAAAGCACCCACAATGATGCTCATGTACTCCTCAGCGTTGATGACTGAGAGCTGCTCCAAGATGCTGAGTGAGGACTCCCGGTACCACTCAACGTCCAGGAAGATCTTGATGAAGGGCACCATGCCGTGGTCTTTCAGGACAACTGTGGACCAGACAGATAGTATGGAGCTGAGCAAAGGGGCCTCGGCACCTGAGTTCTAATGACAAGGAAAGCTTTCTCCTGCAACATGTGGGTCTGTTTTGTTCCTTTCCTAGGTGTCTCTTCTGCCCATTAGAAACTCTTTTTTTCCCCCAAAAAATCCATACCTACTGTTAAAACTAAAAGAGGAAAAGAGAAATAATGGAGCTGAGAATTTTTAAAAAAACAGACAAATTTTTTAAAAACTTGCCTTTTTATGCTGTGAAAATTTTGTTTCTGAAATTCTTTTTCAAAAAAAATTTCAGTGAATTCGATTTTTTAGAAACCTAATACAAACTTTAGCTAGACAATGCTTCGGTCCGTTATCGCCACTTAATACCCTAATCCAGGCCCAATGGCAATTCTCTCTTTTCTCTGCCAAAATTCTTGCTGCAAACAAATGGTAACTGAATCACATGTGGAATAAGAACTAGGAGGTAATTGGATCGTTCAACTGGCATGATGTAGATTTGAGAAGGTCAACTCTGTGAGATAGGATTTCTCTAATTGTGAGCCAGGTACCCCTACATGGAAATCACTTTGGAAGCCTGTTAAAAGTAGATTCCTGAGCTCTATCTTGACCAGCTACTAATTAAATCTCTGAGAGTGAGCCTAGGAATACGCTTTTTTTTTTTCTAATCTGAGAGAAAGAGAGAGAGAGTATGTAAATGGGAAAGAGGGGAAGAGGGAGAGAGAAAGAATCTTAAGCAGGCTCCACGCTCAGCACAGAGCCCAATGCAGGGCTCAGTCCCACAAGCCTGGGATCATAACCTGAGCTGAAATAAAGAGTCAGATGTTCAACTGACTGAGCCACTCAAGTGCCCCTGGAATATGCATTTTAACCAGCACCTCCAAGGAACCTTTTATAGTCTAACATTAGAGACCCTCTGCATATGAACTATTCATTCACATTTGGTATAGTTGATGTATGAGGGCCTCAGATAAAGACACCCCAAATCACCAAATTCACTGATGTCACTTTGTTGATACACCTGCCTCATGACATAATGTATATGTATATAGTTAATGCACCCATTAAACACACAAACACACACACACACACACACACACACACACACACACACAGAAGCCACATGATCTTAGGAAGCCAAAGATGTTTTAGATGGATGGAGGTACTGAGTCCATCATGGGCTGGAAGCTCATCAAATTAAGCCTCTTAAAAATGATTTGTTTCCTTTACTCCAACTTTCACAATTTGGATTTTTCCTAAAGCACGTTAATTGGTGCAGCAAGATAGTAATAGGTTTTACTTGAAAGAGGAGGAGCACCTTGTAATCTCATAAATCTAGGGTATCTCTTTAGGCTATCTCTACCCCAACCTTAATTAGCAGCCTTAAAAGTAAAAGCTGTTGGGGCGTCTGGGTGGCCTAGTCGGTTAAGCGTCCGACTTTCGCTTAGGTCATGATCTCGCGGTTCGTGGGTTCGAGCCCCGCGTCGGGCTCTGTGCTGACTGCCAGCTCAGAGCCTGGAGCCTATTTCCGAGTCTGTGTCTCCCTCTCTCTCTGACCCTCCCCTCTTCACGCTGTCTCTCTCTCCTAGAAATAAATAAAAATATATAAAAAAATATTTAAAAAAAAAATAAAAGTAAAAGCTGTCAACCCAGATGTCTGCAAATTTACTGATGAGCACTGGACATCAACCAGCAAATGCACATTAGCAACAACCTTAGTGCTGGTTGTTTCTTGGGTAATAATCTTTGAACACTGACATAAGCCACCAGAGATAGTTAATGTTTACCGAGCAGTGACAAGACGAGGCTGGTACCATCCTTACCTGCATTCCGGACTGAGCCTCTCAGAAGTGTGACAACGGTTCTCAGCATCACACAGGTCAGTTCTCTCTCTGGATCCGGGACACCAAGCAAGGACTCTTTGTTACCTGGCATATTTAAGAATCAATAAATAAAACCTTCAGTATCCATGGTATGATCTCAAGTCTCTGAGTTCATTAGTTTTCCATACTTGTACGGAAATGAAAAGAGAATGCTTCTATTATAAGTGAGTGTGCATCATCCCAATTCATAAGATCTAACCCTATAAGCCCTTATACCATGGGTCTCCAATGTGAGCACATTAAAATCCCCTGGGGGGCTTCCTGAAATCCAGAAGCTGGAATCCTTCCCTAGAGTTTCTAGCATAGGAGGTCTTAGGTGAGGTTCCATAAAACTGCATTTTTCTTAAGTTCCCACGTGATGCTGATGGAGCTGGTCCAAGAGTGACCCTTGAGAACCACTACCCTACAGAATGTCTGAAGCCCCGCCTCTTTGACTTTCTTTTGGACAATTTTATATTTTGCCATTCATGGCTGGGAGGGAGGACCCGCCAGCTCACCCCTGAGGATGGAGATGATTGAGAGGTTCTGGAGTGGATGAGTGTTTCCATTAGATTCATGACCCTAAACCAGGCCTGTGTGTTCACGAATGAATCCCCAGCGCTGGGAAAGCGCCTGACACAAGGGGAAAGTTCCATCCATATTTGGGGAAAGAATGAATGAATGAAAGTAGTTTCCTCACCAGGAGACAAAGTATTTAAGAAGGATAAGAAACATGTAACAACAGAAAGCACAAAGTAAGGCCGGATACATCAGCTCACAAAATAGTTTCTCTGGGAATGGTGATAAGTCTGGTGACTGGATTGAAAAGCAAATTCATGGGGCCCCTGGGTGGCTTAGTCGGTTAAGTGTCCGACTTTCGCTTAGGTCATGATCTCGCGGTTCGTGGGTTCGAGCCCCGTGTCGGGCTCTGTGCTGACTGCCAGCTCAGAGCCTGGAGCCTATTTCAGAGTCTGTGATTCCCTCTCTCTCTGACCCTCCCCTGTTCACGCTGTCTCTCTCTCTCTCTCCTAGAAATAAATTTTAAAAAAATATTAAAAAAAAAAAAAAAAAGAAAAGCAAATTCAATATCAGGTGGCTGAGAAGCGACATACAGGAAGGTGACACGAAAACATCAAACAATAAGACTTTGCAAAGGGCAGTGGGGAATAAGCACATAGCAAAATATTCTCCAAGGCCTGACCCAGAGGCCCCGATGTGTAAAGACAGAAGGTCCTCATCTTCAATCTCGACCCTATGTACATATACTCCCAGGGAGATGTGAGTCCTTCCTGGCCTCCCAAAGGTGCCTGTCTATCTCAGTCTTCGATGCAGTAACTCAGAAGCTGCAGGGATAAGACTCACTCCCATTCCTTAAGCACTTGAGCATTTCTTCTCCAGCTATAGCAGTGAGACCTTTTCAGTATTTCTTCATTTAATTCTTACTACATCCCTATGATGTAGATATTTTTGCATCCATTTAACAGAGGAAGAAACAGGCTCAGTGAGGTTAAGTAACTTGTGCGGCACTCAGCTCATAAGTAACATAAGCAGGATTCCCCTCCAGGGCTGTCTGGTCCCAGAGCCCACACTCTCTCACTCGGCTTCTCATCACACTGGCCCGGGGAGGGACAACAGACAGACTGATGATGTAAGCTTGAGTCTGAAGCCCAATTCCAAAACCGGTCAATGGCTAGAGAGCCCTCAGCCCCTCCCAGCCAGCGCAGTAGGAGAAAAGGCCAAAAAGTGGGGAGAAATAAGTGCTGGATTCAGTCTCCTAGTCCCTCCTCCAGGCCGAAACCCCAGAGGTGCAGGTGCAGAGTGAGGGAAAGCCAGGAAGAGCTGGGAAAGGAGTTTTCATGCCCTGGCTCCTCTCTGCAGGTTGGTGGAGGTGGGGGTTGTGAACAAACCACACAGACCGGCCCCAGCAGAGTGTGTGCATGAGGGGTGGCTATTCAGCGAGAGAGCCCGGGCCAGCACTCCTGCCTGGACAAAGGGGACCCTGAAGACCCATGGAGGTAGCAGAGGCTGCTGATGCTGAGAGCCCAAGGTAGGGGTGAAGGGAGGTTGCCAAGGAGCCACGGGTGCACAGCCCAGCAAGGCACATAAAAGTGGGATGAGGTTTGGAGAGGGAGACCATGTACCAGCTGACCCCACGCATACACGGGCCCCCCACCCTCTGCCTGCTGGAGCCCCAGGACTCCCTGAGATCCCTTGCCCTTCCCCATGTCTCTCCATCTGCATACATCTACATAGCAGACAGTATCCGGTGCAGAAGGTCTCTGCAAGCTGAGAATTCATCAGACCCGGCTCAGCCCCATGAGTCTGTTTAAAGCTCCGCCCATCCCTCTGGCCTCCTCATGGGGAAGATCAGTCCAGGTAAAGCAAACAGAGAGGCTGCCTGCCCTTCGAATCCGCATGCCTCAAAGTACCTTCTCCGACCCCTTCGTGTTGCCGGCTGGCATGGGGCTGCTCACTTTTTCTGTGATGTTGATGGGGGGGTGGAATGGCACGCAGACCCCCAGCCTGTTCCCCCCAACCCTCCTGAGGCTCTTGGGAGTCACCTGACTTCCTCAGGATCTTGGCCCGCTTCCGCAGCTGGGCCAGCAGCAGGCCTAGGAGACCCGAGTCCCGGAAGATGTCGGTGAAGAGCAGGTCCCTGCCGGCTATCCTGAGGACACTCTGCAGGGCCACGAGGGTGCAGGGTGACTCGGGGCTCTCCTTGATCAGGCACTGCACCTTCCTCAGGATCTCATGGGGCACATAATGCAGCTCGAACACCAGGGCCTCCAGCAGCTGGAAGAACTGCTTCTGCACCGGGGCCGGCTTCAGGGGCACAATCTCCACGAACTGCGAGATGGGCTGCAGGGTCCACTCCAGCAGGAAGAAGTTGCGGGCATTCCAGGTCCACATGGTCCTGATGGCTGACAGGACCTTGCTGCAGAGGTCAGGGTTGCTGGCTTTGTGGAAAACATTCTGGAGGACTTGGAAGGCCTGGAGATTCTTAACGGTCACCCCTGCAGATGAAAGAAGGAATAATCCTGCAGGTTATTTCTCCTGCCGGTGCCTAGAAATACGTGCTTGCATGGCCATTGGGAAATAGTGTTCAGTTTCTATTTTCTAGCTCCTGTGGGTAAATGCCTACCAGAAGTCCAGGAAAGCCAGCTGCCCAGAGTGTGAGCAAGGTGGGGGCTGCATTGTCCAAGGTGTGGTGGCTCACCGAGCGCTGGAAATGTGCCCACCCAACTGAGACGGTCCGTGCTATAAAAATACACACTGGTTTCCAAGACATAGCACGAAGGCCAAAGCAACGCCATGAATAATTATTTATATTGACCACATATTGAAATGGTAATCTTTTGGATATAGTAGGTTAAATAAATTTATTATGAAAGATAAACTGTTTCTTCATATTTTTAAAAAAAATATGGCTACTAGACCATTAAAAATTATGCAGTATGTCTTGCATTATATTTGCATTAGGCAGGCCTGGGCTGGAGGGTTGGTTTCAATCCATTAAAATCAAATGATGTTGGGGCGCCTGGGTGGCTCAGTCGGTTAAGCATCCGACTTCGGCTCAGGTCACGATCTCAGGTCAAGACTTATGAGTCCGAGCTCTGTGTCAGGCTCTGTGTTGACATCTCGGAGCCTGGAGCCTGTTTCAGGTTCTGTGTGTGTGTGTCTCTTTCTCTCTGCCCCTCCCCTACTCACACTCTCTCTCTCTCTCTCTCTCTCTCTCTCTCTCCTTCAAAAATAAATAAACATTACTGAGGTCTGATGGGTATGGGGGAGAGGGAAAGGGGGGTGACGGGCATGGAGGAGGGCACTTGTAGGGATGAGCACTGGGGTTATATGGAAACGAACTTGACAATAAACTATTAAATATTTTTTATATAAAAAAATTTTTTAAAAGAATGAAATCTGGCCATGTGTAGCAACATGGATGGAACTTGAGGGTGTTATGCTGAGCGAAATAAGTCAGGCAGAGAAGGACAAATATCATATGTTTGCACGTATAGGAGGATTAGGAGGAACCTAATGGAGGACCATAGAGGAGAAGGAGGGGGAAAATAGTGGGGGAGAGGGAGGGAGGCAAACTATGAGAAACTCTTGAATGCTGAGAACAAACTGAGGACTGATGGGAGTGCGGGGGAGAGATAGGGGGGTGATGGGCATGGAGGAGGGCACTTGCAGGGAAGAGCACTGGATGTTATATGGAATCCAACATGACAATAAACTATTAAAAATAAATAAATAAAAATTTAAAAAATTTTAATTAAAAAATTTAAAGAATAATAAATAAATAAATAAATAATGTTAAAATTACCAAGCAAAGTCAGTATCATTTCTAGACAAGCAGTTAAATAAAGATATCTTCTGAAGCCATCGCCTCCTTTCACTCCATCAGAGAACTCCTCGCCTCCAGCCCTTTCTGCCTCAGACCCAGAGATGTTTCTGAAACTCATCTCTGGTCCAGACACTTCCCAGTGCGTCTGCTGGAGTTCTGTCCAAAGGCCCTTCCTGAACCGGCCCTCCAGCCTTGAAGCCTTCACACTCCGGTCATTTCCTCAGACCCCAGATATTTGGGTCCCCATTCTCTCCCCAGGCAGTACTTTCTGCCATTAAACTTCCTCCTCTTCCTTCCCATGTGGGCAACCCCCTCTTAGCCTTGAAACCCAACCCGAATTGGGCATTGTGTGCATGGTTTCCTGACTAACCCTGACAGACCTGACCCACCTGCCTGATGCATTAATCAGCCCGTAATGGAGGGCCTTCTCATTCAGGTATGCGTGACAGTCTCTACAGAGGAATTTTAGGGAGCAGATAGCTGCCTGGCCACACGGGTGCCTCACCTGGGGCAGAATGGCTGCTGCACAGAGCTAATCAATCAAACAATCAATCAGGCTGAAAGAACTGAGGAAGGCTGACTCCCAGGCTGGGTGGCTGTTTCAGGGCGGTCAGCCCTTGTATACAAGCACACGTTGCAGAGTAAGTCATGCCAGAGGCGGGGGTGGAGACCAGAGGCTCCTGCCGTTACCAAGAGGGTCTTTGCCCTTATTAAGCAAACCTTTCTTCTAAATCCCACCAAGACATCCAAAAAAGTCTAAAGGAGAGATTTTAAATCCACAGGTAATCTCCGCAAAGGTGTGACAGACAGGTGCCAAGTGTTGGTTTCCTCACAAAGGTCGGGGAAAGACCTGGGTAGCATCTGTCAGGGCACAGCACCAGCCATTGCCAGGCCCCCGGAAACATAAAGTGACCCACCAGAATCCTCGTGATGGAACTTGAAGCCTTCCAGCTGAGGGTACGTGACACTGTCAAAGACCTTCAGCTCTGACCTCCCGCAGGTGGTCAGCCACACCAACAGCTCAAGGAGTTCCTCCAGGTGGGGATCCACTTCAGTCTGCGCCAGCTCGTACCTGCGGGAACAGATGAGGCCAACTCCCTGGGCTTCGCGGGCAGGGCAGCCATGTTTGCTCACGGTGCTGCTCACAATGATGCAGGGGCAATGCAGGTCTCAGCGCTGGTGGAGACCCCAGAGATTTCCACCAGTTCGGCACCAAAAAGGCAAGGGGAGTGCCCTGGATGAAAGTCACTCTGTTTGCACATGTCAGCCTTAGGTATAAGGATGTGCAATCACAATGCAGAGAAACCTGTGAAGAGCTCCAGTATTTGCACATGGGAAGGCTGCTTTCTGTGGCTGAACCCATCCCAAAAGACTTTGCACCAGGAGAACAGGGACACCCTCAAAATGAGAGATTTGATATTTCAAATGGGCAAACAATGTCTTGGGAAGTAATCCAACTTTATTAGACTTCCTTATGCTTATGTCAAGGTTGAGTATTGTTTGCATTTTTAGCCACTTAAGCGTAGATGGGTGCCTTACTCTTCTTTAAGAAGGATCTCTCTCTCTCTCCCTCTCCGTCTCCCTCTGCCTCTCCCTCTCCCTCTCCCTCTCCCTCTCTCTCTCACTAAGTCTTATTCCAGCTATTATGCCAAGAGCAAAAGTGGTTGCAGGTAAAAAAAGAGCTGAGATAGGTCCTTCCTGTTACTCCTTGGAATAGGCTCATTTCCCCCTCCTGTCTTCTACAAGAAATCTGGAGAAAACTAACCATCTATTTAACCAAAGAAATGTTCAAGAACTGCTATGACATGGACCTCTATGGGAGCAGTAACCAGCTGGTCATGATCCAGCCTAATGTAAAACATGGCAACTCCATAGGAACATTTATTCTTGGTGTGCCTTTGGAGGAAGACCCTCAAGGTGTTTCCATTTAATCACATCCTTTTGGGGCTTCAGCCCCTTCATCCAAATTACCCCTCTAGACTAGAAACCTGGCTCTTCAGTGAAGTCTGTGGAGCACAGTGGTAAGCCACACCCCACGGATGAGAAGGGCTTCTCATACTCATAGAGCAAAGTGCAAGGGAATACATGTGGCTCTGCCCTTAACCAGCTTTCCCCAAGAGCAATGGAGAAGTTGGAACAATCAAGGAATTTCTTCAATTTTCATCTCTTGGCTTATCCAATCCTTGGATCCAACCTGAAAATAATGTGGCAAGGCAGAGTGGAGGTAATTAGTCCTGACCCAGGTCACTGGTGTCTTTATTTGGGTTTCCCATGGTCAAGGATTTGACAGAGAGAGAGGTGGTTTATTTGGGAATTGGAGCAAATAATACTACTAGGGGAGAGGGCCTGAGAGGAGAAGGGGAAGGAAGCCAGTACAGGAGCATTATCAAGCAAGTACCTTGTTGAGCAACTGGAGTTTAATGGATGTGGGGGCTCTGGGAGGCAGGGGAGAGAGATCCCACCCAAGGGGCAACTTTGCTGGGTATTTCTTCATCAGCTCTTACCAGTCCATGGTTGATGGCTGAGTCCAAGGTTTGCTGACTGCTCAGCAGTTCCAGCCCCCAACCATTTCAGCAGAACTGGTTACAACAGTCTCAGAAAGCCTTCCAACACAGAGCTGTGGGTTCTGAGAGGTGGCTGACAAGCCAGCATGTGTGCACATGATAATACCACCAAATGAACTTGGTAAAACTACCATCGCAATCCCCATCAGTTCTCAAAGGAAGTGGCTCCCAAACCCCGATGCACTGTGAATTATTTTTGCAATAAAAGTCTCTCTGCCCATGCTCTATGGAAATTTGTGTTTCAGAAGACATTCAAAGAAGTCTCAATATCCCTTTCTCCAAAGCGACCCAAATGATATGGGGGAGCTAGACTTTGCCAGTGTCTTCCCCACCAAGAACAACCACTTACCGAAGCAGCACTTTGAGGAGAAGAGGGTAGCCCTCCCCATTCTCGAACTCTAGGAACAGAGCCGAGGAGATGGTGTAGGAGTCCTTCACAAAGCCCAAGATGAGGCTCACAGACTCGCTCACCTCGGGAGCAGGGAGAGCATCTGCGAGCTTGGAGAGATTCTGAAGGGACAGTTTGATGCAATCCATAGCTGCCAGAGGAAAACAACCCTGTTAAGTTTGGAGGCAATAGCTTTTCTTCCACGGTCATTCCCTGCCCACACTCCTTTATATATCAAGACGTAAGTGAAAATTAATTCAAAATGTTTTCATGCTGGGTCTTGAATCAAGAGGTCTTCCCCATGGGAAGTGTCATCCTAAGAGCCACACTGTGCAGACCCAGATAGAGAGCAGGCAAAACAGGAAGAGGAAGGAAGCCTCTTAACTGTCTGCTCTTAATCCCCAGCATGCAGGAGGGACCGGGCCCATTAGGTAATGGGATAGAAGATGAAAGACCTGAGCAATGAGAAAGACCTTCTTAAGGAAGCAACACTGGGAGATGAGCAGAAATCAGCTTGAGAAAAAGTTCAGGGAAGGAAACATGAGTATGGAAGAAGGTGAGGGGCAAAAAAGATGGTGTGTTTCAGCCACTCATGTATCCAGGGTCTTGGCACCCAGAAGTGCGGGCCACAGGGGAGGGAGAGGAGCAGGGCCAGCTCATCTGTGGGCCCTGGCTGTGGACCTTGCTGGTTACCCAGAGCTGTGAGAAGTCAAGGGAAGATTTGAGTCAGAAGAGAGATGTCACTGGATTTGCACTATGATGGATCACTGTTTTGAGGGCTCTTTCACCAGAAGCCTCTTCTGAGTACCAGGAAAGCAACGCCAGTGGATCAGCAAAAGCATCCACGAGAACTTGACGTATCACATGCTCCGTCCCCCAGCTGTGAGGCTTCAGACACTCCCCACAGTCTGCACGCCAGACAGGGCAGCCCTAAGAGCCACAGGCTTGGCAGGTGACCACCAGGCCAGCCCTTATTCCAGACCTTCTCCTCAACCTGTATGCCCATGGAAACTACCCATTCCCCTAAGGGGGTCCTGGGCACTGTGCTCCAGGCAGCAGGCTCCCTGCCCAGGTGGGAATTTTATTTTCTAGCTATTGTCTTAGACAGGCTAACAGTAATGACAGTGAGAGACCCCTGTCGTCAAGACACACAGCTTTGTCCCTGGGCTCTCTGACTCTAGCCTATGGGGGTACCTGGGTTGCTGAGCATCTTACGACCAGCTCAGCTTGAGGCCATTACCACTGGGCCCTGGCCTCACTGGGAGCCTTGATTCCCTAAACTGGGGCAGACTTTGGGTCCTGGGCTCAGTTCCGAGAGGGCAGTGGGCTTGCTGAACTTGGCCAGCTCTCACCAATTGATGCCCTCTGTCTTGGGAAACCCCAGAAAGATGGCAGATCACAGGGCAAGGGGTTGGTATTCCCATTTTACAGATAAAAGAACTGAGGCACACAGGCACGTACATGTGGGAGGTCACTCAGCTAAGAGAATGGGAGGACAGAGCTGGGGTCCACACCCCAGCAGTCTGGCCCCAGAATCTACCACCTTAACCCCTACATATGCTGTCCAGAGCAGAGCCTAAAGGAGATTGGGCATCCCCAGGCTTAGGGTGTGACCATCCTGTTTGTGAGCTGGGGACCTTGGCAAGTTCTTGTACTACTCAAAGTCTCTGTTTTCCCCATCACAAAATGCCATTAATGTCCATCGCAAAGAGACAGATGAGATAATATACAGATTATCTGTGGGGTGTCTGTTTGATGGTAAATGAGTTCCCCTTTCCTTCCCTCCTCCAGGGGAACACCAAAATAAATAATAAAAACACTTTCACAAAGGAAACCAAGAAAAAGGGTCATCGACTGGGCACAGGTGGGCATCCGTGAAGATCCTGTTTATCCATCTCTTTTTTCGGTTCCAGGGTCTCATTGCAGAAAGTGGGCCCATATCCCACCCCTGGTCTCCTGGGGCCATACCCTGCAGGTATTCAATGATGCCAAGGTTCTGGGCCTTGGAGATTGCCCTCAGCACACAGAAGGTGGGCTCCTTCCAAAAGCGACAGCTGTGCTCCCGAAGACAAGTAGTGGCAATCACGAGGGACTGGAGCTCATTTCCTGATAGAAGTCTCTCCAGCCCCTGAGACTCACTGCAAATGTTCAGCAACATCTGGGGGGGGTAAAAAGATGCCTAGTTAGGAAGCCTCCTTCCTATAAGTAACATTTCTTCCCTTCTCCTGAGCTCTGAGGGTAGGTCTCAGGGCAAAGGAAGGGTTGTATGGGTCACCCCCTGCCCCAGAGCAGTATGGTCAGCAAAGGATGACAGGGCTTGGGCTAAAGGCTGCACTCCTAATCCTCTGCAAGCAGTTGTCACCCTTTCCAAATCAGAAAAACAAAGAAGAGTTTGGCTTAGAGAGGTGCCCTTTTACATAGACATGCAGAAAAAAATGCCATCAAAGATTAAAGTATAGGATTCACAGAACCCAGTGCTATTTAAAAAGAGATGTGTTCCCAGATCCCTGGTTGGCCATCAAACTCTACTTCTCCTAAGATATGAGACAGATCCTATAACTTCCTCTCTGGACCTTGTGTCCCCACCCATCCAGCCTCCCTATGGCTCCCAGGGGGGCTTCCGGTTCTTTCCTGCCAGTTGGGGTAAATCATGGCTCACAGAGTTCTGCACAGACTAGCCCTGCCTCCTCTCTGAAGCGACTGTGTGCAGCCCTCTCTTTGGCTCTTAGTGGTCTAACTGGATCTCCTTCAAGTTCAGCATATGTGGAAAGCTGTTTCCATCTGAATCCAGGAGCCCCTTCTAAGCACAGAGACAGAATCCTAGCTGAGCAGCCATGAAGCTGGACTCCAGATCCCACCTGCTGGCCTCTCCTGCAGGTGGCCATGGCCAGGTGACCCTTGGCATGGATGACCACTTCTGCGCCTGTTCCCTCTCCTCCCCCTTCACACCTGCACCCTGACCTTCAGCTCCTGGTCAATGCCATTTCCTCAAAATACTCTTCTTTTATGCTCTCCTATAAATCAGGTCCCTTTGTCCTCATTTCCCAGCACACCTTTCCCTTTTCCTTCAGAGTACTTAAAATAACGGACACAGTGAGGCTCCTGGGTGGGTCAGTTGGTTAAACTTCGGACTTCGGCTCAGGTCATGATCTCAGGGTTCGTGGGTTTGAGCCCCGCATCGAGCTCTGTGATGACAGCTCAGAGCCTGGAGCCTGCTTCGGGTTCTGTGTCTCCCTCTGTCTCTTCCCTTCCCCTATTTGTACTCTTGTCTCTCTCTCAAAAATAAATAAACATTTTTTTTTAAAAATGGACACAGCTCCCCAGTTATGTGATCCCTTCCCTTGTTTGGCTTCCCCAATTCTCTATCACCTCTGGGAGAGAGGGTACTAAGCTTGTTGCTGGGACAAGCAATCTGTCACAGAGGAGCATGTGGGAGGAGCTCATATACTTTGCGAATGAAATAAGGAAAACCCTAAGGAATACGGACATGCCCTAGTACTGTGGCTCCCATTCTACTCATTCACGGACAGAACCATGAAGGCAAGGCTGCACTAGTTCTCTGTGGGACACTGAAAGCCACGTGTTAAAGACTTGTCAACGTGCCCAGTACCACATCCTAGCCACCACTTCGAGTATGATTTGTATACAGATAAATGATGCCTCAGTTTCCAGCAAATGCAGCTTAAGGGATAACCTACCACAAGTAAACTTGTGGCATAACCTCTGGCAGTGAGGATTCTCACTTGCAAATGAGTCTGAAATGGATGTTAATGTGAATGCACATGTACAAAGCACAAATGCATTTGGAAATTCACAAAAGCTCTGAAGCACCTGCTCTGTGAGACACTGTCTGAGGCACTGGCCACTCAAGGTTGAGTAGGACTTAAGGCCCTCCTTACCCTCCCCCCAAGGTCCCTTCCTCCAGAGAGGTAGGATTAGTTTTCTGGAGAATACAGCAGGAAATTGCATTTGATGCTTAGTGGCCGGAGATAGCTTCTGGGAGGGGGAAGGAGGTGGCATCATAAAGTAGTCTTGGCAGTCAGATTCCCAGGGTCCCAATCCCAGCCCTCCACCGACTATCTCTGTGACCCTGGGGCCATGTTTACTCACCATACTTTAGTTTTCGTGGAATCACAACTGAAATACTAGACACATCCTGGGATGGACGAGAGGGCTCAGGGAGGGGACAGATGGGAAGCTATGGCACAGGTGGGTACAGGGAAGTACTTAGAAAATGTTGGCTGTTGTTATGCAAGTGCGGTTAGCGCGCTTGCCCTCAGAGGCAGGGGCCAGAGACGAGAGGTTCCAGATGCTGGGGAGGGCAGGCAGGGCCCAGGAACGCAGCCTGGAGGAAGAGGAGCAGCACACTCTTCTGGGGGCTACGACAGAAATAGCGACACAGGGATGAAATGAGACGGAAAGAGAAGAAAAGGCATTTTCCAAATGCAGAGGATCCTGCATTTGCAGAGAGCATGGGGGTAGACCGATGAGTTGGCTCTCCGGGAGGACAGAGGGGCTTCAGGACCAGCGCTGAGAAAGACGGAAACACCTCCAAGCAGCAGAGCTGGGTCTCAGCCCAGGGGTGTGGAGCCCTCCTCTGACTCACCTGCACAAACATCCTTTGAACTTGAACATCATTCTCAAGAACCTCCTCCTTTTCCAGAGGAAAGACAAAGAAGAGGTAAAGGCACTGTAGGAGCAGAGCTGGAAGCCCGGATGCAGCGACTCTGCCCAGCGTCTCCTGCAAGGAAAGAGCAGACGTGACCCATGGCCACAGACCCCATGGGACACTTGTCCAACCCAGAGCGGCACTGTCCTTTAGCCAGGAAGAGGGATAACTCTCTGTGGGCAATGCATTCTCAAGTAAGAATGGGGACAATCATAGGACCCACCTAGGGTGGCTGTGAAGATTAAGATTCTATGAAGTGTACACTATGTGCTCAATAAACACTGCATCTTTTGTAAGATAAATTAATAGAAAGGAAGAAAAGGAGGAAGGGAGGGAGGGACAGAGCAGAAAACAAGGGTTTTCCTAAGTGATCACACTACTGATTTGGGTAGTCGCCTCCCGATTAGGGAACTGGGCACTCAGGAGGCCGTGGCCAATAACAAGTGCAAACACCTAATTAAGGACCTGATCAGCACCCTCCCGTCCCCTTGTTCAGATCTGAGACCTTGCCAAGACCAGAGAAGTCCTACAGGAGAAGACTGATAAGTAGGGTGGCCAGACAGAGAGTAGAAGACAGGAAGTGGGCAGAGAAAGGAACAGCCTGAGTGTAGAACTTCCTGGAGCCTTTCTTCCCGACGCTCTGCCTGCAGCTTCCCCAGGGTCACTGCAGTTCCAACGTCTGTGCACGTATGTGCATGTGAGCATGAGCAGCATTAATCTAAAGCCTACTGTCCCCCCAATTTCCCACCCAAGTGACTAATATGACAGATATGGTGGTAAGATGAGAAAATGAGAATGGAAGAATGTACAGTCTGGGCCGGAACCAGGAATATGATGCAGGTTATTGGTCCCACCCTTCTCCCTCAAAGCTTCCGGTGCAGGGTACCATCGGCCCCTGCAATTGACACCTGGCTCTGCTGTGACCCTGCCCAGGGTGGCTCCACTGTCCTCCATGCTGCACTGGCTCCTCTGGAAGCCAATTGCTGATTTGTCTCACCGCTTTTAGGGCTGGCTGCTCACCATGGAAAACAAGCCCTTAGGTTACTTTTTACTACCCGACTATAAACAGTCAGTCCTTCCCTAGGGACAGAAAAGTTCCTTCTCTGGCCTTTGGGCTGCTGTGCTGACGGAGGTCCAGGCAGTTCGTGCAGAGGAAAGGTCACATGATCCTCCCTGCAGTTAACAACTGCACACTGAGCTCCTCTCATTGTTTCAGATGCCCGGCTGATATCTGCATTCACTGTTAGCCTCGGGGTGGCCGCGCCCCCATCTGGTTCCTGCTGTTCCTGATGCTGAGCACTGGCATGTGGTGGGCACTCTCACTAGACAAATGAGTCTCTGGGTCTGCCCTGCCCAGGGCCTCCGGCCATTCTGCTGATAGCCACAGCTGCCAGGGACTGCTTCTGCCTACAAGGACACCAGCCATCAGCCATCCAGTCACAGGGAAGCCCCAGACCCTCAGCATCATGGAGGAGGACACGTGCACAACCAGGATAGGGCACCAATGGGAAGGGAAGAAAGAGAAGCCAGCCTCATTTGGGTACTGTCTCCAGGCAGGCACGGGCAGGTGCCTAAGGTGGACTCCCTCAGTGTGAGCCTAGCAGAGGGCAGTAAAGAGCAATGGCTCAGAGCACGGGCTCTGGAGTGACACATCAGTCACAGAGGATGCTAACTAATGTGGCTTCGTAATCAGACCCAGGGGGCTGGGGGAGAATTTATTGACCTGCATGGGACATGCAGCCTGCCCCGCCACAGAAAACAGTCCATGCACATCGGCCACTGTTAATCCCTGCACTGACCCTAGAACAAAGGCATTATCCCCAATTCTAAAATTAGCCACACAACAGAGTCACAGAGCGGTGACACAATTTGCCCAAGGTTACACACAGCTTGTCAATGGTAAAAAACAGGATTCAAATGTGGATTTCAGATGTTAAGTCCCCATGTTCTCTATCAGAAGGAAATTACGGCAGGAGAGATGACAAATCAGTATCATGGGGAAAAAGACACTCCTGAGATGAACCCCTGCCCTTTGCTGGGCCTTCCGCGGGACACAGATGAGGAGCTCCCAAGCTGGGGCCTGGGGAGCCTGGAACTTACCGAATTTGTCCCCGTGAGCACATATGCCGACTTCAGGAGCAGGTAGCCATCCTGATCCACGTCCCCTTTCCACCGCAGCAACTGCCCTGCTGCCTCCCTCGCTTGCTCTGAGGACAGCGCACCAAGGGGAGAACATGTCATCAGCAGGCAGTGCAGTGACCTGCCCTCCCAGCTTGCCCTCCACTCGGCCCCCTTCCCCGGCAAATGTGCCTTAGCATCCTTAGGGGACTTCTGTCTCCTTTCCTCTCCACAGTGCCATCTGAATCTCTACCAAACATCTCACACTCCTCCAGATTAATCTGCCTGGAGGATAGTCTTTATCACATCACTACTGCTCAACAGCCTTCAGTGGCTCTCCATTACCAAACCATTACAAGCTCTTCAGCTATGGGACTTCTCACAATCCAGCACCTTTGCCCCACTTCCTGTGTCCTCCAGCCACCACCCCACCCCCACCCGCGACATTGCAGATTCCTGCATTCTACACTGTGCTCTCCTTCCCCCTAGAATTCCCTCCTGCCCCTCAGCCCCTCCGTGAAACCCTGTCTGGCCTCCAGGGTTCTGCTAGCCCCCCTTCCCTCCTCTGCTGGCCTTTCCCTTTGTTCCCAACATCCTCGGTGGCAGAAGTGAGCCTGTAGGGTTCTCCGGAAGGCACCGCTCTTACTCCACTAGAGAGCGGCTTTGCAGGAGTCCTGTGGGGAAAGCGCAGAGCTCTTTTGCTCTCCATACAGTGCTCCCTTACCTGCAGGCTTTCCCACAAGTGCCTTCTGAATTTCTTGAGCAAGCTGGTTAGAAATATCTTCTGCCAGGCTTTGGAGACTGGGGAAGCAGATGATCCCCACAGAGTTCTCCCAGGCCTGAAGTGCAATAAAGAGGCTTCCATCAGAGAAGTCAAAGCCACAGAGCAAGACACGCAAATCACCTTGCCTCTCTCCCTGCCAGCCCAAACCAGGGAGTCAACTCGCTGTCCCCGGTGTAGCCCAAAGGTCACCGAATCACCCACCCTAACAGCTTCCCCTCTATCCCTCCCCTAGTTGCTGTGACTTCTGCAACTTCCACTGAGCTCTGAACCCACATCTAACTGGACCCTGGACATCTGCCCCTGAACTTGTGCTCCTGAAATGTCAAATACACATAATCATAACCATTGCCTTCCTCCCAAATCTGTGGCATCCTGTCTCAGTGAATAGTTCTACCAAGCATCCAGTTGCCCCCATGGGGAATTCTAAAGGCAATTTTCTGGGCCCCCCTCTGCCTCATGTTCCTTACCCCATCGACTGCTACATCTCACTGATTCTTCTCCTGAAAGTGTCATGTTTCACATATCTGGTGTAGATATCTTAGTTTTAGTCATGCAATTATTTCCTATAACCAATTCTAAAGAGTGGGATTGTAAGTTGCAAGAGTGTGCTTGCTATTTTTTTTTTAATATTTTAGTGCTTTGGTGCACCTGACTAACTCATTCCCCAGAAAACTTTACCTGATTAGCCTCCCCAAGGGCCTCCATGGGAGAGGACTAGTTTCTCTTCACCCACTGAGCACTGCCATACTTTTTCGTCTTAAATGAGACAACTTACAAAAGAAAAAATATCTCATCTCAGTGGAAGTCTTGTGATTACTGAAGTAGATGAAGACTTTAAATGCTTCTTCAATTGTCTGCTTTTACTCTTAGCCTATTATTCTATTAGAGTTTTCACTATTATTTATTTTAAAAAACTCTTCACATATAAAAATATTAATCCTTGGTCCATAGTATTCTAATGAGTTTTTCAAATTTATCATTTTGTCTTTTAATTTGGTATTATTTGCTTTGGCTATACAGAAACTTGAAGTTTACATGAAATGAAATTTCTCAATCTCTTCCTTTTTCTCTGGCTTTAGTCCCAGGCTTAGGAAATTCTTTTGAGTCTAAGTGGTTGTTGCCATTTTTAATCTCCTCTTTCTTTTTGTTTTTTAATTCTTTAAGATTCTTTCTTCTCTGTTCCTTCACTATTTCTATCTTATCTGGTCATCTTTTGCCTTGGACTTTTTCATTCATTGTTTAGGATACTACTTAATAGAAGCCAGTAATTTTAGAATTCTTGTCATTAGAATCTTCTCCCTTTGTACAGTTATGTTGTCACAGGCAGAGTTTACAAATCCCAGGATAAGGAGAGCTCTCTCCAGACCAACAATCAGAGTAGAGTGACTATTCTTGGCACGAGACTTAAGTTCCTGGCAACTTCACCTTCCTGGTTTCCACCTTTTCAGGAAGGGAGGCTGCTGGGCATGTTCCTGGCAATTAGCAGCCTCAACAAAATGCCCTTTTGCTGGACTGCATCCACAGCTCCCACTCACCAGCCACACTAAATTATATCCCTGCCCAAAGCTGTGACTGAGTTTTTTTAAGCTGAGATCCTCCTTCTAGAAAAGGTGAGGAAACCATCAAAACCCCAGAGGGAAATGTTTCCTTGCTGTAGATTCTATATTTATTAAAAAGTAAAAAAAAAAAAAAAAAAAAAAAAAAAATTCCATATTAAAAGATGTTACATACAAAGGAAGCAAGACACAGATTGAGTAAAAATATTTGCAGTGCATGTAACTGACAAAGTAACCAGATCCCTACAAATTAATTTTAAAAACCCTATTTTTTTTTAGTCAAGCAAATGAAACAAGTAACTTATAAAAGATACAATCAGGGGTGTCTGGGTGGCTCAGTAGGTTGAGTGTCCAACTTCAGCTCAGGTCATGATCTCACGGTTTATGAGTTCGAGTCCCACATCGAGCTCTGTGCTGACAGCTCAGAGCCTGGAGCTTGCTTCACATTCTGTGTCTCCCTCTCTCTCTGCTCCTCTCCCACTCATGCTGTCTCTGTACCTCTCTAACATAAATAAAACATTAAAAAAAAATTTTAAGATGTAATCAATAGCGAATTACTAATAATCAGGAAAATGCAAAATAAAACTACAATGAGATAGTCATACTTTTCAGGTTGGTAAAAATGTAAAGCCTGACAATAACAATTGTGGGAAAAGTTAAGAGACCAGGAAACCCCCATGCTCTACTGACGGAGCACAGCTTGAAAAAAAAAAAAAACCCTTTGAAGAGTATCTAACCCAATCCAATAAAGTTAGAGGGAGGCACATCCCATGACCCAGCAATTCCTTCCGAGGTATATTCCTTATAGAAATGCTGGCACATGTGTACAAGGAGACATGAACAGGAAATACTGTGCACCTTATTTGTGATTGTGTAACACTGGGGAAAACTGAATGTTCATCACTAGTACAATGAATGAATGATTTGTGGCCTATTTCTGTAAGGGTATTATATAGAACTGAAAAAGAAACAAGAGTTACATGTATCAATAAGGATAGATCCAGAAATAGAATGTTGAGTAGAAAAGGAAATTGCAAAAGTACATTACAGTCTGAGTCCAGAAAAACCTGTGAGTTTCACAGTAATATCACTTATGATTATTAAAATATGTTCATATCATTGTATAATTAGATCTCTATTTGGATATGCATAATATATACCATGTCTATAAAAATGTGATATATATATACCTACATATATATACTATACCTACATATAACTCAGCAGGATGGGGATTTCCATTAGAAAAGGACAGAAGGGGAATGAGCACTAGAATGAATACATAAGTGGCTTTAGTTTATCTGAAATGTTTTATTTCTTTTCTTTTTTTAAAAAAAATTTTTAATGTTTTTTTTTAAATTTATTTCTAGGAGAGAGAGAGAGAGACAGCGTGAGCAGTGGAGGGTCAGAGAGAGAGGGAGTGACAGACTCTGAAACAGGCTCCAGGCTCTGAGCTGGCAGTCAGCACAGAGCCCAACGCGGGGCTCGAACACACGAACCGCGAGATCATGACCTAAGCGAAAGTCAGACGCTTAACCCACTAAGCCACCCAGGCGCCCCTGTTTTATTTCTTTTCTATGGGTGGTGAGTAAATGGATATTTAATTTGTTTTGGACAAAGCTTTGTACCTGAAATTCTTTTTGTTTCTGCCCTATAATATAAATGGACTTTATATTATAGAGTTTCTACCTTATAATATAAATATAAAAGAGTTGCTCCTTTGCTTTGTAATTAAAAGGAAGTGCATCAGAAATTTGCTAAAACTACAAACATGCTAGGTGAATGTTAAACACCACTGTACACAGTAGACCTTCAACAAATATTTGATAAGTGAGCACATGATTATCAAATCCACAAGATGCAGATTGATGGCCGAATGTAATGCATGCTGGTTCTGAGCCAAGGGCTGAGCCTAGCACTTACTTGCCTTGTTTTCATTAATCCTTACAACAGCCCTTTGAGATTGGTACTGTTATGATTATTCCCACTTTACAGAAACTACGACTGAGGCAGGAGGGTAAGCCCAGAGAATCAGCTAAGCAGCAGAGCGAAGAGTTGACTTCTCTCACTCATACTCAAGTAGTATGTGCACATCCAAGAAATTTATGGCTACCACCTAGCAACCAGCTATCACCTGGAAACTTGAATCCCTGGAAAGAAAGAATTGGTCTTTATTTTGGCTGAGAATTTCTCATAAGATTATTTCCTCCCCAGGAATGAGAACTCTGCTATGATATCTTTGTAACAAATTCCTGTGCCTCCTTCCCTGCACTGGCAAACCCTCAAAGACCAATTTGCAGGCAGTTGACTCAGAAGCATCTAGATCGTCTCAAGCAGTGGGATTCCTGCAGGCACTCCACAATAAAGTAAATTGGGCCACTGTGAGCTGAACAGTAATTGTACGCTCAGCCAGATTCTCCCAAGGCTCGGACTCCTTCCTGGGACCACAAAGGGCACTTCTGGAGGCCATGTTAACTCTTTGGGGCCCCTGGGGTGCTGTTTGATGCACAGAAGCAATCATTTACAGAATGGTACCATGGAGACCCCAAAGAGTTAAGGCTGTTTCCAAAAGGACCTAATTTTTCCCAAACTGGGACTTCCATGCTGAGAGAATATTGCTCAATATTTTAAAAAATTTTTACTCACATTATCTAAGCTGCACCATCATGCCTTGTGGCTGTCTCTCACACGGAAGAAAGAGAAAGGAAAATGACGCTGTGGTCCCCAAAGGAAAATGAGGAATGATAAAAGCTCTTGAGGGGCTGGGGGAAAAATCCAGCTTCTGAGTGACAGGACCCGGCTGGTTTTCAAGGATGGCTACAATGTTACTATGCCCTCATTACTACAGAGTTTGTAGGGTTGGTCCTTACTGGAGTTCAAAACATTTCAGAGACTTTATGTGAATTTCCTCTGCTAGTGTAACAAGGTGGACCCTCTCCTTTCTAAAAACTGATGTATCAAAACTTTGCTAACACACCAAAAATGTTTCTCTGAGATGGAAATAAACCGTGCTGCAGGCGCCACTCAGAGGTTGGATAGGTCAGGTGTGGGGGATGGGCTTAGGAATCCCCTGGGGCTTAATGGGTTAACAAGGCATAGGGAAATAAAAAGCCATAGGATGCTCACACCCCACCCAAGCTTGGGTAAACAGGATTGGCACCCTGAGAATAGGACTGTCCAAAGGCACCCCAAGAATAGGGAGATGCTGAACCCCCAAAATAGAAAGGGACAGGCAAAGGCCCCAAAATAGGAATGGGCACAAAGTCTCCCAATACAAAGGTATATGAGGTAAGCGAGATTCGACATGCAGGGCAAAAGTGCCCCTCAATTTAGTCCTAATGCAGAGAAGCTGCTTTCACAGGAGAAAGGGGCCAAGTTAGGCAAAACAAGTAAATTGGACTATAGACCCCTGCGCTGCAGGTGATGCAGCCCAGAGCAGAGATGGGTAACAAGAGGTGCCTTGTTAACCCTGAGGTTATTTTCCCCATCTGTCTTCTCC